GAGAAGAGAAGAGAAGAGAAGAGAAGAGAAGAGAAGAGAAGAGAAGAAAAAAGAGAAGAAAAGAAAAGAGAAGAAAAGAGAAGAAAAGAAAAGGAAATGTTTTATCCTGGAACATCAATATATAACTATTAGAGGTCTAGGATGAAGAGACGTGGGGAGAGAATCTCATTTGTATCTTTCATAGGAAGGCCAGCCACATATAGTCTTTTGCTTTAGAAGGACTACCAGCTCACTGTATAGAAAGGAAATACACCGAGGCTTGATTTCCTCACTGAGAAGATCTCATTGAAGCAGAGTGTCACAACTCAGATTTTACTGTTAATATGGCCACAGATCTAAGGCTAGTTGAGGATGTTCTATTAAAATGGTTTATCACGTATATAACTAGGTAAATTAGGCATGGGAATGGTGGTAAGGGATACACACTGTAATTCAGAGGAAAGCTTCTGGAGATATAACCTCCAGGGAAAGGCTCAAACCAATCAACAAAACATCACCGCAGCAGACAGGAATGGGGTAAGACTTCTAGGAGCACGGCAGGCAGACAGCACTGTATTGTAATACAGCCCACAGCTCAGCAGAAAATTTATCTACGCTGTTACAATGTTAGCCAATCCATGCCTTCACTATGCAGTGAAAGCGGAAGTCAAGATAACTTAGAGATACCAATTCTTTATCTGCCACAGTTAGATGTTAAGAAAGTCCCTGAAAATGGATATATATAATCTCACAGTATTCAAAAACTACAAGAAAGGCCTGAACTCACTGGAGGGCTGAGGATAGCCGCCTGTGGACACAAAGGTAGAAAGATAAGGAGGGGTTGGAAAGTCGCTACTATTTTTTATTTGAAGTTTTCTACTATCATCTGAATTTTCAGACTGTATCTATGTATTACTTTAATATAAACATTTCTTTTAAATACACTTCTAGACCAATCACATTCTCTTCTACAATAGATGTTATCCTGTAAACTGGTAAGAATTCAACAGCCATTTATTGAGAACTTACTTAAGCCTCCAAGGTACTATCCTGTGGCCCACGCTCAGAGGATTAATGAATATCACATTACTCTAGTTGTGGCCGGTACATTAATAGGGCAAAAGAGTTGGTGAGAAGACAGCAACCATCTTCCCCTTTAGAACATCAGCTTTATGACTCAGGCCCTGAAACACCTACCTCACTGATGTGGGTATTCTATGGGCCTTGCATAGCCCAAGGTGAAAAACAGAAGCTTTCTGTGGCCAAAAATATTAACAGTACAATCAGAGTTGTGACACTCTGCTTCTATAATCTCCTCTCAGAAAGGAAATCAGAAGTCTTGGTGTATTTCCTTTCTGTACAATCAGCTGGCAGACCTTCTAAGCAAAAGACTGGGAATGGCTTGCTTTCCCATGAAAGACATACAATGAGAATGTGCTTCAAGAGTCAGTCCCTCATTTTATTAGCTAAAACTATACTAGAGTCTCAGAGCAGGCCTCGACTTATGAAGACAGCCAATTACACGAGTTTGGAAAGCTGGATAAGAAAGTACACTGACCTTAATAACCGAGAATGAGGGAGGAGGTGTAGATGAAGTTTAACAATGATGAACTACATATTTAACGTAAGTTTAAAAAAAAACCCTCTATACAAATAAGCTTGCATATAAGCGAGAGATAAGCACTCAAGAGAAAACTTAAAACTTTGAAATGGGTCAGCAAAGGAAAGTTATATTCTTTATGAAATAGCTAGCAGTAAGGAAAACTCATTACCGAGAAGTAAGAAATAGCTAAAAGCCATCAGCTGAATGTGAATCAGGATTTCAGTAGGCTCTATGAATTTTTAAAAGCTATGAAGGCACGGGTGTACCGAGTGCAGTGCTGGAGACAACAGTGCTTTTGTCACATTTGTTCTACATTACACTGAAGTCTCTACTTTAAAAACTTGTCAGCATTCTAAAACTTTTTTCTTGAAAAAAATTACTGATACAAGATTGTTAGCTCTCTTTCCAAGTATAAAAGTTACAAATTACAAAAATTAGGAATATTAAATTACAAAGTTATGTTGTACATATCATTAATATAACAGATCAGTTTTTTAAATAAAGTTAAACTCATTTAGAAAGTTAAACTCTAAAAAGCTTTATTTGATATTCATGTTATTTAAAAAGATAGTATGTCTCATAATGATAGTCGCATCATTAATTAGTATATTTTTACAGAAACTTACCGGTTCTTTATAATTGGAAATTGGTCAGGAAAATGTTGTAAGAACTGGACTGTTAATTCCTCGATTTACTGGTATTCTAAGGACATCTTTTTGAAATTTTGTTTTATGCAAAAAAGTTTTTTATCAAAGGATTGGCCTAGATTCGTTAGTTTTCACAACATAAAACTGTGTTTAACACATTTCTCTTCAGACCTCACATATGGGAAAATCACTAAAGAACATACTCAGACATACATGCACTGGAAACTCTTTGCCATCGCTTTCCTCTGCCTTTTGAAATACAAAATTGATGCATTTTTGCTACCAATGTTTTAATTCAGTATTGTCTTGGAAGAGATGAAATTTGTTCAGCAAGGATTGTGATCCTAAGTAGATTCACTGGATCATTAATCTGAGCCAAGATTTAATGCTTCAGATTCCCAGTTGCACATTTATATGGCATGTGCACAAGTACACGTGTGAAGGCCAAGGTATATTCCTCCATCGTTCTCCACATTCTTTTTTTCAACATGTAATTATTTTGTGTTTTGGGTGGGGTACAGGTAGAAGTCAGAGGATGTAGGTGTGACTTCATTCCTCCTTGTGTTGGATCCCAGGGACAGAACAAAGGTCACCATGCAGCAAGCACCTCTACCCGCGAGGCCATTCCCCTGCCTACTCTCCAGGTTATTTTTGAGGCAGGGTCTCTTACTGAATCTGCAGCTCATCAATTGGCTGGCTAGCTGGTCAATAAGCTCCAGGGCCAACTCCCCTCAAATGCTCCAGGTACACTCCACTACACTCAACTTCAGCATGGAGGCTGAGGATCTGATGGACTTCCATGTGCCATCTTTTACTGAAACTGATTTTCCTTTTTAACAATACTTTCTTTGAACAAACATCACAAATTAGTGCACAATTACCTTGGCTTTATACAGGTGAAAAAAAACTTTGTAGTCCTTACATGAATATTTTTTATAAATACTCTAAATTCTAAAATTATTTTGTACTGAATAAATGGAATATTAAATTTAATTTAAGGACTTTTTTAGCAATTACATATCAGGGATTTAAAGCATATTGTCATTAGGCAACAATGTATGCTTAATATTTATAAAAATTCAGACTGATAATCAATTTAATATTACTGATGAAAGACAAATACCTAATCTCTTTTTAAAAAGCATTACAACTCCCAGGTAAGGAAACCCATGATGCCAACTACAGTATGTAACCTGTACTGGGTCATCATTATTGTGAGAGTGAAAATGAAGAACCAGTGTGCAGGTTAACACATGAATTTCACCTTATTTTAGTTCTAGTCTTCACCTTCCTGCTGCCAAACTATATATGAACTACGCATTAAGTAGAATAACAAACTTCTATGTCTTTTCTAATATACACTTCAAAGTATACATTTTTTTACTATGAAATTTCCCTGGTCAAGTATATTTTAAAAATACTTACAATGATTTATTGACAATCAAGACATTCTGAATCCAGTAATGATAACTGCAGACCTCATCTACCCTAGACACCTATTACACACACAGCTCTGGTCATCTGTGGATCACACCTACACGACAGCACACATAGGAGCCATGTGTAATCACAGGAGGCTCACGTGAAACAGCCCGACATTCTTACAGTAGAATCAGATACCCAAACTGTTACTTACTCAGACATTCTTTCAACGCCAAAGCTTGAGCACTGCCTAACTGTTTCTCCCTCTGTAAAATCTGCTCCTCAGAAAAACTTGGGAGTGATGAGAAGTCAAAAGGAAAGCCTGAGAAATAAGAAAAAGTCAAAATTAATGAAATTCTATCTATTCTAATAATTAAAATTCAGTTCCTAGGAAATGTGTTAGGACATGACTAGAAAAAAAGACAATAATTCACCTCTCTTGATCTTACATATTTCAAAGTAACAATTAAACATGGGAAAATGAGCACAGTAAATTGTTCTGTATTTTAATCTTTGATCTGATTCTTAATTCCTTGGAGTAATATGGGCACCAGAGTAGGCTTTGCTACATGGTGTTCTCTTCTACCTACTTGGAAAATAAGGACAGAACACAGTTTCTTGTTTCTAAATACAAGTTCTCCCAGGACCCACTATGAACCACATACCCATCAGTGGTCCTCCGTTCAGCTCTTTATGTAATGAATACAGGATAAAACTATGATTTGGCTGATCCAGTCTTATCCTCTTTTCTGCTTGTGTGTAGTTATCAGATAACTAAAATATATGTTTGTGTGCATCTATATATATATATACATACCCATTTATTTAAGCCCCATGAGAACTTATGTATATGTATACATACGCATACATGCATATATATATATATATAACTATATATGTATGTGCATATGTATATGGATATATATGTATGCATGAATGTGTGTGTGTATATATATATATATGTATATATATATATATATATATACTCAGTCATTCATTCATTCATATATATGAATATATATATATTATATATATTCATATATATATGAATTATATATATATATATATATTCATATATATGAATGAATGAATGACTGAGTTCTGTTCATGAGACTTAAATAATGAGTAGCCAGTACATGATGGATTTAAACTAGAGCTCAGGGTGCACTGGCCATTAGTATTTGCATTCCCTGGATGGTGGCACAGTAATGATCTTTACTATTCTCCATGCTGTAGGAGTGTTTGCTTGGCATTGTTTATTAGTGAAAACATTTCACAATCTAAACAATAAGATGTGGTAAAAATGGAATGACTTCTAGGGTAGGTCATGGGAAGATGTGGAACCTTTCGGGAACAAGAGTTCCATGAGAAGTCAGCAGTTATATATAGAAGCCAGAGTGCCCTGGGACTGGCCATTATGAGACAATTCGAGCTGGACCTGAGGAAAGCCAACATGGAAGGCAAATCAGATCCATGTATCCTAGTGATCTGAGCCCAGATACCAAGCATGGGTGGAGAAGCTATCATGGACAGCAAACTGTTTTCAAATACTGAAAGTCTGCTAGTGTGCCTATAACCACATGTGAGAATTCAAAATCCAGTTGAATTACTTGACATAGCAGACCATGACAGATAATAATATGCGCTTTTTTTTTTCTTTTGCTAAATTTGAGGTAGTTTGTCAGACAGCCAAAAATAACTTGGAGAGTAAAAAGAAAGAGGAAAGCAGTTTAAAAAAAAAAAAAAAAAAAGAAGCTTGAAAGAACACAAATGTAAATTAAAAATCGTTTTGAGTTCTGAAGGCAATAAACATTAACAACTCAGTATCTGAAATTGACAGCTAATGCCTAATCTTTATTCTGTATATTGTAGAGAATTAAATCTCTTCATTATAAATTATAAAAATGTTATATTTAAAATCCCAGCATGGAGTAAGGCGAATCCATGCAAAGTTCCACCCCTAACCAAGAAGCGATTTACAATTAATACCTGCTGGGAAAAGAAAAACCAGTTTTCTGTGGTGGCAAGTCACTGGGTATATCAACCACACTCCAGGCCAGGCGTCAGGGAAAGTTTGACAACACAAAAGGGACTCCATGTTTTTTTGTGTGCTTTTATTTGTTTCATATTTTGCCTTGTTGATTTTTATTTATTAGTTTCAATTTTCTACTTTTGGTTTGAGGCAGGAAGAGAATGAATATGGAAGTTGGGTGGGTAGGGAGATTGAGAGGATCTGGAAGAGGAGAAAGAATATGACAAAAAAATATATGTATGTGTGTGTATATATATATATATGTATTTTTTTTAATAAAAGGTAAACTAATAGCAGAAATAGAGTTTCATTATTATTCCTTCCACTTAAAACCATGTATTAAATTACTTACATATATGAGTAAGTGTAGAAACAGGTCTCTTCTAGCTAATTATTACTTACTCAATTTGGCTTCTTCTGTCTTTGTTTTCATCTTTCCATGCATGAAGCTGAGCGCAAATGAGCCATTGATCTGGTTGGCCGAGTGAAGCAAAGTGGCTTTGCATTTTCTCTTGCCATTGCCTTGCAATAGCAGATAATAGTTGGAATACTCTCCTTTCACATCAACCTCTGGAACTAGAAAACAAATATCTAGATGAGAATAAAGAAATGCTATTCATCACACAGCAACTGTTCGAACCCTCAGAGAAAATGACCGGCCATTTCCATGGTATTCTATGACAAAACAAGGTGTTACTCAATGCATTTGCAACCAGTTGGTTGACCATTTGGTTGAGAAGGTGTTGAAGTAGAAAGTCATAAAAGCAATAAAAAGTATAAACTTTTTAGTCTGTCTAATCACCATATACTTATTCTTTTGCCCTGGCTCACTGAAGTTCTATAATATAGAACTTATACAGACATGTCCATAATTTCCACATTTGTGTGTGTGTGTGTGTGTGTGTGACATGCATGTCTGTGGGGTATATGTATTTATATGGTGTGTGTATATGTGTGTGTGCACGTGTCTACATACAAATGTGTGGTGGTAATGGTCCACATGTGGTATCTTCCTCAATTACGCTCCACACTATTTCTGAGAGTATCTCACTGCAACCAGAGCCATTAATCAGCTAAGCTGGCTAGCCAGTTACCTCGAGAGATCTGCCTGTCTCTGTATACCCTCCATTTCTTCCAAGAGAAATAAACTGACAAGTACACAGCACTCAACTGGTGAAAGGAAAAGTGAATAGAAAAATAATCTTTTACAGGCTCTGTTTCTCTGAATTCAATCCATTTATAGAGAAAAAACTACTGGGGGAAAATGCATATATATTTAAACGTGTACAGACTTCTTTTTTATTTATATACCAACTGCATTATACCAGATATTAGACATAATCTAGCAATGCCTTAAAGTAGACAAGACAAAAATTCATTCTCTAACGAGAGTGAAACAAGATGTCTGTGCCTGGGCAATAAAAGACAACAGAGCTGGAGTTCAAAAAAGATGACCACTGATCACTGACTGTCAAAGATGCTTCAATGCTGAACATGAAGTGCCTGAACAGTACTTTCCCTGCACCATTTCCAGAACTTTGGAAGCAAGATGCCATAACTAAACTTTTCTTTTTTTTTTAATGTGTATGGATTTTTTTTGCAATTAGATTATAACAAAGACCTCATTACATTCATAAACAGTTCTTCTAAAAATAAACTTACATTAAGGTAATTAGAAAACACAAGGTTCTACATAAGACAGAGTGCTCTTAATTCATGGGTCCTCTTAGAATGACCGACAGTTTATGCTGCATGTGCCTCTCCAGTACTCTCTGTGTCTGCATTAGCTTGTAACTTTGCTAGCCCTGTAAACACCGAATCTAACTTTTTTCCAAAGAAGAACAATGACTTTAAAGAACTCCCCAACTGCAGTCACTTAAAACACGCTGTCTCAGATTTTTGGCAGATGTTAATTGAAGAATTATTTAATAACTTTCATGAAAACTCTGCAGAAAATACTAGACTTATAATTAGCAATTATTCAATTCTGATTACTCCTCCTAAAGAAGTGAGGGGAATAAATTATAAAAAACAATCTCTATTTCCTAATTCTGCATTTGCACAATCAATCAGTGAGGCAATATTTGGCTTGCATGCCATGACTGGAAAACATATTAGCTATATGGTACAGATAAAGTGGGAAAGAGAGAAACTACCAGCTGTCAACTAGTTGCATCAAAGTTTACAAACTAACATAAGCCATAGTGAAGGTATATTTTTAACGATAGTTAAAAATTCATTACCAAAAAGTTACTATTTTTACAGTGCCAGAGTTCAAATCTAGGCCGAGTAGATGCTAGGTAAACACTGTACCAACAAGCTCCACTCTCAGACAAAGTTCTACCGTAATGAAAAAAAGCCACCATCTTATATCAACAAGTTTCTTAATGGGTTTTAAAACTTTCTAACACTCATACTTTGTTCACAGTTCAACAATACAAAAATAAAATTAAATTGACATAAAGGAAATATTTCATATAAATATAATGGAAAATAAAAATATCTGAGACAACTGGAGAGAAGTATCCTGACATACTGAAAATTATTTTATATATAATCCTTAAGAAAAGAAAAATAAAAGAGTTCTTTTAATAAGCATACCAAAAATAAACGTCAACATGCAGTCTAGACTTCAATTTAGACATCTTAAGAAGCTATACCCTTTATGATAATGATAACTATTGTTTAATTATAAACTCAACTTTGAAATAATTCATACAGCCAGGTAGGAGGTCACAAATACATGCTTCAAGATGACTTGTGTGCACAGCGCATGCACACACGCTCACACACATACACAGAAAAAACAACAATCTACTAACTTTACATTCCCCAAAAATCTTCCAAACATATACAGCCAATATATGGATCAATTGATCACCTTACCCACCTGACTAAACTTTGAACAAGTGAGCATAAATTTAGCTATAAATAAGAGTGTGCAACAAAATCTCTGCAGCTCAGTTGTAGAAAGAAATCTTAACTGACAGCCGTATTTACAACTGTATGTAGTAGCCTCCTACTGTGGAGACTACAAAACAAAGACTTAAAATTCTATCACAGCATTCAAATGAATAACATCAGGTTCATAACCTAAATACATTTTCTTCCATTACGACACCTAAAACATACAATTTGAAAGTAACAAGGAATAGAAAATCTAGTCAGAGGTCATCCCAGGCCTCTGTGAACGACTTCCTTATTGTTGTACTGCACAGGAAGCATGCTAGCCTCTGCAAAGTAGCAAAAGGACACTGCAGAGCTTACAAAGTGTTTATCCTCACTGCCAGTGACACTCAAGTTTGGGACCTATTACTCAGGTGGTGTTAACTTTCTCCAGATAAAGGTAGAAGTCCCAAAACTCAGCTTCTGCATTCTTACTCTGGTGCAGAGCACCTAATTGACTCTCTTCAGTAACTGAGACTCTCCAGCTGGGGCTGAAGCATGCAACATGAGGAAATGCACATCCATCACCTCAGGTGCTTTTATAAGAGCGATGGCCTGTCTGCTGACACAGTATTGTTCTCGGGTGTGGCCTGGCTCTGCTTCTTCATTTGATGACTTTAGCTGGTGCTAGGAGTCACTGAACTACAGACAACAAAGTTCTGTGCTTACTTCTAAGAGGGCTTCAGAGAGCCTCACAAACAGCCTTCTGAGTGTGGCAAACACAGCCCATGCCTGTAATCCCAGCCCTGTGGGTCTCATTTCCTTCCCTCCCATTCACTACCCCTTCCCTGCTAATCTCTTCATAACACTGATGTCTCATCTGTTTTATGTCCCTCTGGGTTTGGCCAGAGCTATGTGCATGGCCTCGGGATTCTAAGAGTTCCCTGGAACTGAAGGAAGTGGCTCCCATCTCCCAGAGCCCATCAGCGGCCAAAGTTCACCAGCAAGGTAGGGTTCAGTACCCTCACCTCCCCACCCACGGCTGCATGGTCAGGCTAGTCTTTAGCAAGCCAAGCGCAAGTAGCTGCAACTGTCTGTGACTACACAGGTTACACTGTGTCTATAGGGCTCCTCTTTCTGTCTTCCAGCTCCAACATTGTTTTTTTTTGACTCTTCTTCCATTTTTCCCTGAACCACAGAGAAGGTAGTAAATGACTCATTTAGGTCTAAGCCTTTATCTATCATTCTCTTGGGAAGCAGTGAGTCCTGCTTTAAGCACTGATCCTTCAAAACAGATGCCTCTATGACTAAGGCTGAGAGTAAACATTGTCTATGCATATATTGCTCACAGATCTTATGTGAAAATATATTCCCGTTTCTCCTTGGTAGATAGCTAGGGATGAAATTTTTGGGTTGTATGATTAAGTATAAATTTAATCTCAAAATGTTATCCATAAGTGGTTGCTCTATTATGCATCTCTCTCCCCATCAAAAAGTGTGAGATTAGTTACATCCTCAACATGTGATAAGCAGTTTCAATTACAACCATTCTATAGTGAGTGTCCTATAATAACATCACGTTCTGGTTGTCATTTGCAGGTCTCAAAAGACAAATGACGTTGAGCAGCCTCTCACGAGCTTTCTTAGCCACTCATACATCTTCAGTGGTGACAAGTTATTCAAGACTTAACCACTTGCCAACTGGGCTGTCTTACTGAGTTGTAAGGATCTGTCCTGCCTCGAACATGAGTGGAGCTGCTTTCTCTTCAAACACTGCTCATTTGTTAATTGTCTTAAACATTTTCTCAAAAAGTACAGGTTTTAAATTTTGGTAGATTCTAACTTACAGATTTATCTTTCCATTTTAGGCAATGTGGTTTTGGGGGATCTGTTAGCTCATACAAATTGTATGGTGTTAGTTCTTAAATTTGGATATGTGAACCATTTTAAGACAGATTTTACAAAAAGTAATTGTTTATGAACTCAGGTAGTATAAGGTCTTTATTTCCTTGTATATTTATGTTTATTTATTTGTCGTATGTGTGCAGGTGTATGGAAGCCCAAGGTTGAAATCAGGTATCTTCCTTGATTATTGAGACAGGCTCTTGTTGAGCCTGGAGCTTGCCACACACACATACATTGATACACACAAAGATAAATACTTACAAATACAGCTTAAAAAAAAAAAACTCTTTCCCAATTTCCTTAACCTTTAAGACACCTAGGAATATGTTTATTTCCAAGTGCTTCAGGGATTCCTCAGATTTTGGTTACTGATTCCTAACTTAGTTCTACTGTGAGTTAAGAACATTCTAGTCAATAGTTCTACATTTAAATTTATTATGACATATTTAATGCTATAGCATGTATCATAACCTGTCCTGAAGAATGTCCCTGACTAAAAGCATACCTTGTCTCTGCCACTAATTTATAGACACATCATCAGTCCCCACTAGTCTAGTACCCTTAAAATGCTACCAGGTTTTTCTGTAAAAGATGTGCTTTTTATTTTCTTTAATGCAAAGGGTTTACTCTTTTTTTTTCCTTTTTTCAAAAGAATTCTAGGCTTGCAAAAATGAAACAAATTTAGAATTATAAAACTTATCAAACATCTGAAATTCTAAAATAATCAGACACTATTACTTTGCTACCTAAGAATAAATGACTTCCATTAACTGTCAAGTATGAAATACAAAAGACCAAGTTGTAGAATCCCCTTTCAGCAGAATCTCTACAGAGATTCAGCCTTTAGATGCATTCAGATTAGGGGCTTCCACCCTGAGATGCTAGACCTATGATTTCTAGGTATCCAATTTTTTTTTCACTTCCAACAAAAACATTCTTAAAAATCACTTTCCAAAATTGTCCTAAAATTAAAGAAAATAAATGCAACATACATGGCATACAATGGTTCTTCAACAGTGACAGGTAGTGATTTTTATCTCATTCCCATGACTTAAAATGATGATCATTCAATTTTTTAACAATATTTTATAACATCACTTTACAAAAAGCTGGGCACTTTTCATTACACATCTGGTCTCTGTAAATTGTATATGAAGAAATCTCTTTCCAGATACATAAGGTTGACAATTTTATTAGTTTATACAATTCTTCACCAGTTTTCTCCATAGCATGGTTCTTTACTGTGGTGCTTACTATCTTTTAAAAGCATTGTGTGCTACTAGACTTTAAAGCATGTTTCAAACTGAAAACATTCTAGTTCACACCACAGGGATCTGCTGCTACTTAAAGGTTTTTCATCTTTAAGAGCAACTGTAGTCGTAGTTCAAATAAAAACATGCATGAGCTTTATAAGGATAGAAACCTGAGGAGCAGATAACAACTGAGACACATATTTTGGCTCATGAATGAGTCCAGCTTCATTTTGTTGAGACAGCAGTCATTACTATCTGGAAAGACATACCTCACTTATAATCTAACAAATAGTTCTAAGTACCTGTAGGTATCATCCAGAGACAAATCTGTAATATTCAAGAGCAGTAAGTAGCAAGGAGAAATGCTGCTGCTGTAAAGATGGGTATACCAGAAGACTCTGCTGGCAATTACAGATGTAATGGCAAAACTGATGCTGAATGAGAAAACAACTTAGGAATAAGGCCTGAATACATTAAGAGCCTTAGCTGTGTGACAATTTGGGTTTAAGAACTAAGGGTCTATCTCTACTACAATGTAAGTTTCAAGATATTGTTTAATGTGGGCCAAGCATGAAAAACAGTCCTAGTAAACCATCAGTACTCAATTAAAATATATCAAAAACATGAATAGTGCATATGCAAACATGTATAAATGCTGAACACATATATGAAAGGTTTTTTTTTAACTACAAATGATATGTAATTATTACACACCTTGCTATTTTAGTGTAGTTTCTTCAGGATTGTTCCTAGTCAACTGTTACTAAATACAAAGTTATAACAGCACTTACAATTACTTCTCAACATGAAAACACTATAAATTGTGTGTGTATATATACATATATATTTTGTATGTATAAAGTATATATAGTTTATGAAGATACACTGTAAAGTGTATCTTCAGCAGTAATCCTTAAATTACTGTACCGCATCTAGTGGACAGTATCCATCCCATATTCAGATAAATGAACCAAAGAATACTTAACTGGATGGCCGAATGAATGAATTAGTTAATTAATTAAAATGACTGACAAAGTCTCAAAGAAATACAATCAGGAAATTGTTTTAGGAAACAGGATAAGCCTTAATTCGGAGACTTGGAAAACGATGAAGAAGCGCAGTGATAGTTTGAGGATGAGCTGAGAGTTAACACAGGCTTGTGAGAGAAGCTTCTGTCAGTGATAAAGTGCGTGGGAAAGAAGTGTTCTGGATCTGAAAGTCACGGACACTAACCAATAGTTGCCTTCTCTCTCTCTTCTCTTAAAAACAAGTAACATATATCCCCCTCAGGAAGGGTCATAGGTAGGAAAGACCTTAATCAACTACTCTGTTTGATTTCATTCTCCTAAGATTAAATGCAAGGTTCCTGCAAGGAGCAAGTTTAATGAGAGCTAATGACCTGGACTAATCAGTAATCACCAATCTTCAAACCGCACTGTATAATCCCCGTGTTATTATTATTCCGAAGCCTCTTCTCGTCATCAGTACGTTCAAGAGCTAGTGATTCTAAAACATGGACTCAAACTACAGGGTATTTTCTTGGTTACAATAAAAATCATGGAGGGGGGATACTGAGTAAATTCTCAATTCTCAATCAGTAAACACCCTTAGAATTAGAGCTGTCAACTCTGAAGCTACCTGAAGTTGTACAAAGTTACAAGAAAAACAAGCAATGATGAGCTACCCAGGAGACACTCAGTTTATTTAAGAGATGCAAATGTTCAACATATATTACTAGACAAAATGGTGAGAAGCAGTTTCCTGTGACTTCAGGCAGTAGGAGAAACACTGGCTCCACTTCTGCTCTGTAAATCTACCTCTGATTTTGTTAAGGCACCTTAAAAAACACCAGCTGTATCCATTCCCCATGAACAGCCAAGACAGGTTAAACCTGCACTTCTGTTCTAGCATTGTACAACAAGCTCCACAGACATCTGGAACTGTGGGGGTCTCTGTAAACACCAGACAGCAGAGTGTAGATCTGAGTGAGGCAAGAGGGAGTCTGGTTCAACGTTCAACACAGCTCAGTAGCTGCTGTTGGTTTGTACTTCTAGAATCTGACACTGGACAGCTGGCTTTAGACATAGTTAAGCACAGTAAAATTTGGAAAGAAACAATTTTCCTAGTGATGACTAACTCCGTCCTGTGTGCACAATAAAGCTTAAGACATGATTACATTGAAACCCTCTCTAAAGTAAATGTGACCCCTTTCATAAAGATGGGTTCTATAAACTGACAACATAGGGTGTGGGGGAAGAGCTGGTGTGGTCTCAGTCATACAGATAGTGCAAAGGTCACCAGGCTGTTAACCATCTCTGCTCCCAGCCTTTCGGGTGGAAAACAGATTATCTTCTCTTCCTTTAAAAACACAACCCTGTGTGTTTAAAACCCCTGGTTTCCCTAGATTTCATCTGTGAGCACAAGGACCTCTGTGCCCACTACGGTGAAAATCCTAGATCATTAGAGGTTTAATTAGAGGGTACTTGTTCCCGAAGTTTCAGAACAAGTAACTGGCAGAGCAAGAACTCAACCAAGGTTCATTTAACTTCGAAGTTCTCTAAGCACCAACGTCCTTATCTGTAACACGAAGGTAAACCAATGTATTACACCTAACATATCTACAATGCTGTGTGGCATACCAGCTAAATAATTAAGTTCCAGTATCTTCAGACAATTATAGACAGAGGCTCATATAATAAATGAAGCATTTTATTTTCACCTATTGGATGTGTCTAAGAACCCAATATTCAATATAAGTAGCTACATAAATAACCCAAGTTCTGCCTTTCAAATACTGCTCTTTTAATGGACATGGTTAGAGGTATGAGACAGTATTTTCCAATAAAGGTTACTTCCACTTAAAATTTGGTAATGCATTATCTGTATTATATACCAACAAAACAACTGAAAGATTTAGTACTTACCACTAATTGTCTTAGGCTTTTTAGCTATGTATTCCTTCCACTTTCTTGAAGCCAGTTGGTTAGGAGGTGGAATAAGTACATGACTAACAGTACATGGCAATACAAAAAGAGCACCAACCTGAAGAAAAACACAGTACATTTTTATCATTTATACACTGAAATTCACTATTGACAAATGTCATGTGAAATTCGGATTTCACACATGCAGCAATTATTGAGTAATGTTCTCTCAAGCACTTCACTGAAAAGACTAAAGAAAAAGACTTCCCCTACCCCATTCCTCTACCTAAAAAACAACCAAAACAAAACAAAACAAAAAAACAAAAAGAAAAGAAACAGATAAACAAAATACCAAAGACAGATCCAAAACTATAGTCTCCTCTTTTCTACTAAGGTGATTATCTCTGAAAACTTTGTCAGTGTTGACTGACAACTTGACAAGACCTACATATGGAAGAGCCAAGCCTCCCAGCACACCTGTGAGAACCTATTTAGATTAGGCTAACTTTCAGAAATGCCTGTGACGAATTATCTTAACTAGGTTAAATGGAGAAGACCTTCCTTAAAAGTGGGCATCACCATTGCTGGGTTTGAGTCCAGGGCTGCATTCTGCTCAGGGAAGAGGGCAATCCGAGCATGACCAACTATTATTTTCTGCTTCCTTCCCCAGATGATATGACCTGGTGCTGTAAACTCATGACGCCTCACCTTCTCCCTCCGATGGACCATAATGGACCCTTGAACTGTGAGTCAAAATAAAGCCTTTCTCCCTTAAGGTGTGTTTGTCAGGTATTTACCACAGCAATGGGAAAAGTAGTAACTTAGACATTTTGTTACATATACTTTCTGTACATTTAGGTTGTTGGATGATATCCTTGTACATCTAAAAAGCAATGAAGAACTAGCTGAAAGATCTAGTATCAAAAATGTGTGGTGCCATAACTTTAAAAATATAGCTCTACTGATTATGTGTGTGGCTTCAAAATTATATCTAAGGGCAAGACAGAAATTTCATTCCTAGAAATAATAGATTTAATGCTAGTAGGGAAAATGCCAAAAGAAAATTAGACACCCCCCCCCAAAAAAAAACACACAGCAGTTTCTGATTTATGAGCAAATTCAACTTCATATTTGTATTCTCAAGGCTAAGCGTACAGATGTTTGTTAAATATTTGCTCAAAAGAATCACTATGATGTATTTATCCAAATTTTCATTTTGATTAAAGACTAAATAAAACAAATTACAACTTTAGAAGTTATATCACCTATTTTAGAAGTGCAGTTGCATCAATCAGCACATTCCAATAAAGAACATTAATTTTAGAAAACTCTGGAGAAATTTAGACAAAGCATTAGTCAAATATCTTAAACCTAATGAAAATCTGTTTTTAATTGCCTTATGTAAATGGATTAGTTGCATGAATAAGTGACACTGAATTAGTTCTGTTGCTATTTATTATTTTTACTTATGCATTCTTAATTAAAGATATAAAATTAGGGAAAGAATAAGTGTTTGTCTTCATTATTGTAGGAAAAACTTTTTAAAAGTTAGTTGTATTTTAAACAGTCAAATTCTAGCAGTCATAAGTAAAGCTATTCAGCAATAGAAAATAATCATTAAATATAAACGACAAATTCTCTAAATACAGAAACTCAGTCCTTTCATAAAAAAGACATCACTGTCCAAAATGGAGACCATGGAAGAAGAAGCCGACTCAGCTGTGAGGTGAAAATATCATGTCAGATAAGCTCTTTCTTAGAGCTGTCTGGATGCTGAATGCAGTTACACATAAAACTTATACACTGATTCATGACCCACTACCATGGTCCCATTTCTGAGACAACCTAATTGTGATTAAATATTTGCTAAAAAAAATTAAAACAGATAAAAACAAATATTTCTAATTCTCCCAAGTTTTAATTTCCTATAAAATGTGTCAACTGCTTACACTGGATCATAATAGATGGAGATCCTGGCCACTTATTCTCAGCCATGCACTAAGTCTCAGACAACCTCTTGAGATTTCGGGATAATCCCAATAGGCTGCCTTTGTGTCTCCACACATAAAAGCTAGCAGCTAAGTTCAAACCTCACTCTCAAACTGTGATCCAGTCACTCTCCAGGTCCTCTCTAACAAGCAGTCACTAATGAAATCAGACTTAAAGCTTTGCCAAATCTCCTTAAAGCAGCGTTTCCTAACCATGGAGTACTGCTATTAGACTCCTTAATATCCTCATGTTGTGCATGAAAAAAGGCTTTGCTACAAATGTTTGTGCACACTTTGGGGCTAATCAAAGAGAAAGACAGTGAGATGAGGGATAATGGGATAATAAAGACTTTTCCTGATGATTGTATAGATTACTAGAACTTAACCACAAGGGTCTTTCCTACCTGTTGTCTCCAACATCTGAACAAGCATCTGACACACAGTAAGACCAATTTTTTTAGATAAACAACAGTAGCAACAAAACAAACAAGGGTCCAAAAACAACAAAGTTTAAGAACACACATTATGAAAATGTCACAGTGAAATCCATTTCTTATATACTAAACAAAAGCTTTTTAGTAAAATTAAAAACAAGGTGCACAGATAGCAAGAACTTCAAGATAGAATCAGCTATTCAATTCCTTATTTAAAAAATATAAAGTTATGACCCAATATAAATTTTAAAAAAGCTTCAAATTCAGAGATATGTTGTTTAAGTCACAGGACACCTGTACTGGCTAGTTTTATATCAACTTGACAAAACCTAGATCCATCAGGGATGGGGGAACCTCAACTGAGAAGATGCCTCCAACTGTAAAGCATTTTCTCACTTAGTGATCAGTATGGGAGGACCCAGATCATTGGGGGTGGTGCCATCCCTAGACTGGGGGTCTTGGGTTCTATAAGAAAGCAGGCTGAGCAAGCCATGGGAGCAAGCCAGTAAGCAACATCCTTTTGTGGCCTCTGCATCATCTCCTACCTCCAGGCTCCTGCCCTGTTTAGTTCCTGTCCTACTTCCTCCAGTGATGGACCATGATCAGGAACTTTGAGCCAAATAAACCCTTTCCTCCCCAGTTTGCTTTTGGTCATGGTGTTTGAGCCCAGCAACAGTAACCCTGACTAGGACAGTGTCTGCTATATGCATCTCCCTCTGCTGCATTACAGAGAGGAGCTTATAAGGCCTCACTTACATACCCTTACCTGTGCATAACACAGATGCATGGGCCTAGGAACAATGGCTGCACATAAAACACTAAACAACTTTGTTCATTTCTGGAATAAAAATTTCTTTTAATAACTAGATAGACTAAGAGTTATTTCATATTTGCATTCAGCAAATCATAGTGACTTTAACTTGATATCATCAAAGGCCAGCTCTTGCAAAATACTTTGACACACTATTCAAAACTACTAAACATGTAGGAAAATGGGACTGGAATCCAAAATTTTAAGGTATCATATAAGTAGACATCTTAAAACCAAAATCACATTTACTATAAAGCATCAGTTTTCTAAGGGAATAAGAACCAAGGTCTAATATAGCACCATGTGGAAACTGCTAAAATTATAGTAATCATTATCTCCTCTCAGAAGCACTTGTTAATAGACTGGTACAGCAGGAATAAGAAAATGTTACATAAATTCAGCCAATAAGTATTTTGTGCATTAAAAATGATTTCTATAGAAATGCAATAGTTGGCAAAATTTCCACAAAGAAATACTTATGTATTTTTCTTCCTCTTCTTCTTTTCCTCTTCCTCCTCTTCCTTTTTGGTTTTTCAAGACAGGGTTTCTACGTGTAGCTTTGGCTGTCCTGGACTCATTTTGTAATTAGGCAGGCCTCAAACTCACAAAGATCTACCTGCCTCTGCCTCCCTGAGTGCTGGGATTAAAGGCATGTGCCACCATGACTGGCTTTGTTTGTTTTTTTGTTTTTCTTAAAAATGATTCATAACTATAGACACAGAATTCTAGTGGGTTTCTATATGTCTGTTTTTAAACAGTAGAAAACATCAAATTTATCATATGATATATACATGTAACTATTAAAATAGTTAAAAATCTCTATGTAGCACTGGAATACAGAAGAATTTTTTTTAATACAAAAAATAACCATCCAATGACATTTTAAGTCTTCTCACTTCCACCTCCTGCCCTATTGTGAAAGGATAGCACAGGAATACAAATGGCTTCCTAGAGCTGGAATGAGATATTACTGAACAGATTAATGAATTCTAAAATTTAAAATAACTTTTAAAATCATTGCTCATGTTTACTCCTGAAAGTCTCTTATAAAATCAAATGTCACTTTGTTTACAAAATATTTGAGCAATGGGGCTGGAGAGATGGCTCAGAGGTTAAGAGCACTGGCTGCTCTTCCGAAGGTCCTGAGTTCAATCCCCAGCAACCACATGGTGGCTTATAACCATCTACAATGAGATCTGGTGCCCTCTTCTGGCTTGCAGGCATATATGCAGGCAGAATGCTGTATAAATAATAAATAAAAAAGAATGGTATATTAAAAAAAAATACTTGAGCAATATCTTAATATGAATTATTGCTAATATCTTAACATGAATGCTTTCTATGGTATACTAAAAACAAAAAAAATTGTTAACAAGAGCTGTATGTACTTTTTTAACATGTCCTTAAATGTTAAGTATTAGGAAAACAGTCAACAAAGTTTTCTATACCTTGCCACCCAAAGAAGAGATCTGCTCCAACAGCAGCGTGGAACTCCGCCTCTGGCAGCTTCCGGTCACCCCTCTGTACTAAAAGTTAAAGAGTGAGAGCCAAGTAACCAGGAAATAGCTCAGCTCGGAGAAACAAGCTTCATTAGTTTACTCTCCCATAACTCAAGGAAAATCACTCATTAAGTTTAAGAATTACCAATTATTCTTGCCCTTCACACATTATTTTTTTAATTATTAGTTCTGAATATCATTACTATAAACTATAAAAAAGAAATGAGTAAAAATCTCTGCATTAAAAAATTGAAGAGTACTATGTTAGTGCTCTATTCCAAACCAGCAATTACATAATATGAGAGTCTGCTCTGGGCTGGTGATGTAGCTCAGGGAGCAAAGGCCTGCCCGCTTTACCCACATGTGGGAAGGAGACAAGTGACTCCTGTTAACTGTTCTCTGACCTAACACAAGTGAGTCACCCCCAAAGAGCTTTTCAGTACTTATATATATGATGGCTTTTACAGTTACTTAAAATACAGAGAGATGTATCATCCAACTAGTGTTCCTATATCAATCAACATACAACAACAGCAGTATCTGAGCAAGGCAGGCGTGCATATAAACTCCTGTTTTCCCGACATATCCCTAACAGCCTTCTCTGAGCCTCATAAGGAACAAAGAGCCAAACTGGAGGAAGCCTTCTGCTTCAAGCACTAACCATCAACCAACTAAGCTTGAAGCATGGGGTAGTGGCTGGGGATAAATTATAAAACCTTCTTAAAACCATGGCCAGGAAAAAATACTTGATTATCTTAGGGCATGGTCTAATATCTAAATGTACCACAAAATCATAGAAATAGCTTCACGTGTGCTTTTTTTGCCTTCTTCTGGTACAAGTGGGTTTTCGCATGTGAGATCTTTTAGAAATCTGACTTTGAAATTGAGAAAAAAGTGTGGCTCTCACTAAAGTAGGAGGAACCAAGAGTCACACCCACACACACAACAATGCCTCTTTAGCAGAATTATCGATAAAATAACAGAAGTCATTGAAAGGCATCTTAGATTCCAAAAATAGGAAAGTGATTCTTAAAAGGAGATTCTTAAAGTGATTCTTAAAAATTTAGAACTAAGCAAAACAACAATAAAGAAAGCACAGAAACAAAAAAATATACATGTAGGTTATCAAGACAGAGTGGTGAAAAGGACAGTTTCAATTAATGCTACACTGTGTGTGGATGTAGCTGCATCAACAAAGCAAGGTTCAATCAGCTCTATATTATTTCCAAAATCCTGCCCACAGCAAGTAATCAGCAATGAAAGAAAAGTTGAGTGCTTAGGGGAAAAGATTTGACAGGAGCATGTGAAGAAGGTAGAAACTCCCTTCCCCTGAAGCCCCATGGCATGAGCGTTAAAAAATGAATACAATGAGTAAAAACAAATGTAAATCTAATACATGTTTACCTGCTAGAACCAAAACATTTTACCTGACCCAGAGAATGTAAAATAAAATGAACATGTTGACAAAAGGATACAACTCAAACTCGATGTCTGACATATAACAGGAGGGAAGATCTGATAATTTTATCATCTGTACAAATTCTAAAGCAGGACCATAGTAATGGAAAACCTAGAAAAGAAATTAAAATTGTATGCTACTTAAATCTTGTAAATTAAATGAAAGCAAACAAATTGGTGATTATTAGTTTAAAGCTTTAAAAGCCTCACAGAAAACACATCCATCTAGACATATAATATAGGATAAACATACTTAAATCTATACACCTAAGGAAGCTAATCAGGAAGGACAACTCTGGCTAAGATTCTCAATCCCCATTGAGAAAGGCAAAGAGGATGGACATTGGAGGAAGAAGAAAACAGGGAACAGGACAGGAGCCTACCACAGAGGGCCTACCTCTGAGGCCCTACCCTGCAGGGTATTGAGGCAGATGTTGAGACTCACAGCCAATCTTTGGGCAGAGTACAGGGAATCTTATGAACATGGGAAATGGTAAGACCTGGAGAGGACAGGAACTCCACAAGGACAGCAACAGATCCTAAAAATCTGGGCATAGGTGTCTTTTCTGAAACTAATACTCCAGGCCAAGGACCACTCATGGAGATGGCCTGGAACCCCTGCACAGAAGTAGCCTATGGCAGTTCAGTATCCAAGTGGCTGACATAGTAATAGGGACAGGGACTGTCTCTGACATGAACTGACTGGCCTGTTCTTTGATCAGCTCCCTGAGAGGGGAGCAGCCTTACTAGGCCACAGAAGAAGACAATGTAGCCACTCCTGATGAGACCTGATAGACTAGGATCAGAGGGAAGGGGAGGAGGATCTCCCTTTTCAGTGGACTGGGAAAGGGACATGAGTGGGGAAGAAGGAGGGTGGGGTTGGGAGGGGACGACGGAGAGAGGTACAGGGGGGATACAAAGTGAATAAACTGTAATTAATAAAAATAATTTTAAAAAAGTAAAAAAAAAAAAAGAAAAAGAAAAGAAAACACATCCAAATGAAAAAACATTATAGTATTCAGAAATCAAGAGCAACCCTCCTTCCATACTCTTTTGGTCTTTCTCCAACTTCCCTTGCATGTATATGTATATGAGGTATGTAATGGTTTGAATAAGATGTGTCCCATAGTCTGGGCATTTGGAGATTTGGTCCCCAGCTGCTGGCTTTTGGGGAGGCTTCTTGTAGGAAGTATGTCACTGGAGCTGGGATTTTCTGCTCTCTTTGCTTCATGCTTGCAGTTCAATATGTGTGCTATCAGCTTTCTGCTCCTACTACTATCCTTTAGCATCACCAGCTAAATCTCTGGAACAACAAGGCCAAATAAACTCTTTCATCTATAAGTTGCCTTGGTCATAGTGTTTTATCACAGTAGCAGAGAAGTAACTATTGCAAGGTAGAAACATTTAATTAATTTTATTTTAATTCATTGAAAAGATTGGAGATAAAGAATATTCTCAATAGAAAAAAAAAATTTGAAGAGATAGATGATTATACTTGGACATCGTACTGCCAAAGAAAAGAAGCTGAAGTCACTAAATCTTCTAAGTGTACGGTTTAGAAAATAACTGAAAATCCTTGGGAAAGACAAAGATGATAAGTTGCTTACAATGACAATATTGGGAAATAAATTCACAGCAGAAATGACTTTCTTTTTCTATTGCCTTTTCATCAGAAAATATTAACCATCATTTGACATCGTGTAATTTCAGGACGTCTGCATTTTACACATTCTTAAATTGGATATTTTCAATGGATTGCAAAAGCATGTTAAGAACCTGTTTTTGTGCTGGTTTTCAATATATAAAAAAAAAAAAAAAAAAACAATGACAACAACAAAAAAGCAAGCTGTACTCTTCTAAGTATTATATCTTATAATTGCTTGCATTTAAAGAATAAATCTACAGAAAATATTAACATGCCTAATACCACATTAAGCCTAATGCCCGGCTCTGCATCATACACTAGTCCTTTAATTCAGTTAATTTTCATAGTAACTTTGTAATGCAGTATTGATCTAATTTCACAAATGAGTTGTCAACCTATCCAAGGTTGTATCCAATCTATAACAGGTGACAGAGTCAAGTTCCAAACCCAGGCATATCTAGCCATCTAGCTTTTCACTGACATTAAAAGGATCAGATGGTCAAGTCCAATTCAGGCTTATACCAACTTTATAATTACTGTCACCTCATTAAAAAAATACTCTAGTGATCATCATCTCACCAATATGTAGTGTTCATCATACAATGTAACTGCAGAATTGAATTATTAGAGTTCTATGAGCTATGCAAGTGACACAAATCATCATGCATACTACTCAAGATTCAAGGATATTTGATAGAACAAAACTCGACAAATGGATGATAGCAAGAAAAATTTAAAAAATAATTAAAAAATTAAATGTACATAAAATTACCTTAGGCAAAATATTCTTATCCTTTGATGATGTTATCTTTTGGGCAAGAAAGCAGGTATTAAAATTATATGCACTAACATTCGTAGATGTAACTCCTTTTAAACAAAATTCAGGAAAACTAATTTCAAATCCAAACTGAAAAGAAAACAAGAAAACTCAGTTATAGCTGTTATGAAAAAAATATACTTTATTAGAATGAAAATATTGAAAAGAAACTAACCTTACTATAAATATAAAATATACGAATGATTTTTTTTTGATACCTCAGCTCAAAGGGTAGTTCTTCCTATTAGATACACAGCATTCTATTAACTAGAACATTTTTCATAAAAAGCTTTCAATGATCTCTGGTTAGTTAGCAACAGTATGCTAACTCTTTTCCATGCAGGCCACAGGACCAAGTATACATTCCTTGGTATGCATTCAATACCTACTTCCCACATCTGTAAGTTACTGCCAGACAGAGTTGCCTGTATTCTTCACTAGATGCCTGGTACGGTGACTCTCATGTCTTACCTTCAACGTGTGTGTGTGATAAGAAGTGCAGTTACCACAAAAGTCATGGCAATACTTCTGTTAACAGTAGAAATGTGACAATACTGACAGCCAGGATTTACAGCGTCAGTATTTTGACTCTAAATAATATAAGTTAAATAAGCCCTATGAATTAGTATCATCATCCTGGCTTAGAGAAAACCAAAGTTGTGGTACCAAGATGTCACACAAACTGGAACCATGTCAGGATTTGATGCAGGCATCTTAACTCTAGAGTCTACATTTTTTTTTGGTTTTTGGTATTTCAAGACAGGGTTTCTCTGTTGTAGCCCTGGCTGTCCTGGAACTCACTCTGTAGACCATGCTGGCCTAAGACACAGACATCTGCCTGCCTCTGTCTCCACAGTGCTAGGATTAAAGGCGTGCACCACCACATCTATAGTCTTACTCACTAGAATGACTGTTCGCTGAAAAATATGAAATGATATCAAGTTTGAACACATACCGTCACCTAATGAGTGCTTAATTTCATACTACAGGAAGAAAAGAATCACATGAGAAGAACTCTAGCATGATCTACATACATGTTAAGCACATGGCTTCAGAAAATGAAATCTCTCCTAATCACAATGTCAACTCTTCCACTTTGGCATAATGCTGCTTTATTTATTTATTTATTTATTTATTTATTTATTTATTTATTCATTCATTCATTCGTTCATTCATTCATTCATTCATTCATTCATTCATTCATTCCTATTAACACCATTTGCAGAGACAGTTTGCCCAAAAACTGAATCTTTGTAAAACTAGGGTGGGCCAGTATGTAAAACTAGATAAAGATAAACTTAGGCATATTATCCCTGTTGTCTTATACGATGCTTCATTAAGCCAGTAAGAAAGAAAAACTAGAAAAGAAAAACCAACAGGAATGTAAGAGCCCATTCATGATAATACTATATTGAACAAGCATTAAATTGTTTTAATTTTCTTATCTACAAAACTTATATAAATTAATATGAATGCATTTCAAAATAGATATAACTTATAAAAACCACTAACCCTCACCTCAGTAATTTAGGACTGATTGAGAAATATAAGTGACTATTTTCATCACATGGCTGATGTATCTAGGGTCTAATAAAACTTTTAAAACATAGTTAGCTGTTGTGTATATGACAAGAGATCACCTAAAAATTCTATAGGTAACTGCTTCCATACCTAAAACATAATTACAGTGATTACTGAAATTACAACTAATTAAAATAAAAAACATTTTGATGTAAAAATTTTGACTAATAGAACAAGTCACTGGCAGTAGTACTATGCAGCTCATGGGCCACTGCTATGAGCAGATGTGCCATTTCTATTATTGCAGAACACTCAGCTTGCTGTCAGTCTAGAACACCTTCCTGAGGGACACTGGCATTGGCTTCGCTTGTCCCATAAGCTGAGTCCAAAGGCCTACTTCACTGTCCACAAGGGAAGCTACAGAACCAGCTACCTTTCTTTCCCGCATCTGGATCTCTCCCCTCCACAGTTCTCTTGAGTCAACAGCATTTCTGAACTCCTCTAATGGTACAACAGTAGCTGAAAGGTATTCTGCAATCTTCTGACAATTTCTGTTTAAAAAAAAAAAAAAAAGATTTTGATAATTAAATGATGGTAATTCTATTTTTTTAATGGCTACATTTTAACTAAAGCCTAAGAGAGGGAACTGCAATTTCTATTACTATTAATTATCCATTAAGGCACTGTCTAGGCAGCCACATCTGTACAAATTCAGACTTGTCATCTCTACTATGTGAACAGAGACCTTCTTGTTAGTGCTGGCTTAACTATGTCAGATGTACACACAGACTCAGCAGCAGTCTCTCACCTCCAAAAACCAGACTGTCACCTTAAATGTCCTCCGTGGCTCTTATGAATGTCATGGCAGCACTTGATCACAGGCGATCCTGACCCTTAGCACTCCGGCTCTGCCTGCACTCCTATGTGGGAGCATGCATGCTCTCACTGCTTCAGCTTACCAGCATCTATTGCCACGCACCTGGCTAGACAGCACTCTATGAAGTGCTTGATTTATTACATGAAAAATAAAATCATGAGATTACCAAATCCAGTTTGACTTTGGAATCAAAACTGGAGTAGACAATTGACCTGTAGTAATGTGTCTTAAACACAACTGTGAGTACTTATTTCTACTTTGGCATGTACCACAGGAGGCAGATGGGACATGACAAGTTCAGCATATCCATCATCCTGGTGCCACTAGGTACTGAAAGCCCAAAAGTACACAGTGAATTTAGCAAGCCAGCACTCAATAGTGATTAGACACCATCACTGATAGGATCTATCAAAACCTTGAATGTCTTAGAAATATGAAAGGAGGAAAATACAAGTAGAGGTTCAAATCTTTAATCACAGTACAACAGAAAACTTTACCTCCTCACATTAAAGAATTTTCAAAGGCTCAATCTATTGAAAACCCAGTAGCAGAACAATGACATATAACCAAAGGAGCTTACATTTCACAGTGATTTCCTGCTATGGTAACTTTTGCTGAATGCCATTCCTTTAGATGTTTCAAGGCCCCTACAGTGGGCAAGCACTCTTTTAACTTAGGAGGATCTTTGTCAGAAGGCAATAGTATTATGTCTATCATTGCTCTACCTAGAAAAAAAAAAATACTGTAACTTTTAAAACACATTAGATCTAAAGTAAGTCAAAACAGTGCTCTAAACAAGTGGATTTTAAGCTTATTTAGAAGATAAAGGAATATTTGAAAATAATACACATCTTCAAATTAAAATACTCAGCATTTGAGTTCATGCCATGTTATCTGGAAATAGCTAGTAATGCTAGAAAACAATGAACTATATCATAATTGCTTGCCAATTCTCTAGCAATAGTTAATTATATGCATTGCTCTAGAGATCATCAATGCTATTGTACTCAACAGGATAAAAAAAAAAAAACTGTGCAATTTCATTATATCCTCCTATATCCAAAAGGGAACGAATGAGTATGAAATTGTAATGCTCAAATAAATCATTTCCCTTAAAAGACAAAAAAACATTCAATGTAACTAATTATACTAGCATCACTAGATTCTGAGAAAGAAGGCTTATTCACACCAATTTAAATGACAGGAAATTATAAACTTATTGAAAAATCAGAAAAATTGAAATGAAATGAAAACCAAATAAAAATTTGATCATCAATGGTATTTAATTTGAAAAAAAGAGCAAGTGTATAATACTTTAGTAAATTTTTAAAATTGACACATTTCATTAAAAGAAATCTGTTATCTGAGAGAGTAGCTTACTTAGCATGTACAAGGCTCGAGGTTCGGTCCTTGGGTGAAAAAGTTATAAAAATGTTTCTGAATACTCTCAGTTATTTTCTTCTTAAAATATATACATATATATTTAGCTGGGTGCAGTGGTGCACTCCTATAATCCTAGCACTCAGGAGGCAGAAGCAGATGGACCTCTGTGAGTTTGAAGTCAGCGTGGTCTATGAAGCAAGTCGAGGACAGCCAAGGCTACACAGAGAAACCCTGGCTCAAAAAAATCAATGTGTGTGTATAATTTTTAATTTTTATTTTATGTGTCTGAGTGTTTACATGCATGAATGTGCATTTCTGATGCATGGAGAACCAGAAGATGGCAGTAGAGAGTTCTTGGTACTGGAGTTATAGATGGTTGTGAGCTGCCATGTGGGTGATGGGAACTGAACTCAGGACCTCTGCAAGAGCAGCAAGGACCCTTAACCATCTAGCCATCTTGAGAAACCCTTAGTTATTTTCTATACAGGACTCTGCAGTAAAATTTGGCTGTAAATATCAGTTCCTTGAATATAAAACTTTTACTCTGTGTAAGCTTTGAGATCCTTTATAACTACCTAGCTTTATACACCGCTATACATTCAGTTCCCCGAACAGTGCATGACAATTAATATAAACATTAATCATATGGCTAATACATGATATTCAATGATAAAAACATTCATTACAAAAAACCGCAAAAGTATCTGTGAATACCAAACTGTACCAAATTTTAGCAATGACTACTTGAGTAATACAAGGAAAAACTACATTAGGACAAAAAAGTGTTTAAGGATAATATACAATATTTCATAAAATATGCTTCCCATTTTAGGAATAAAAAATGGTTTCTATTAAAAAAATGATGAGCAAAGAGCTCTGTTCTATTGCACAAAATTCCATTTGATGATATGTATGTGATCTCACCATAAAAGAGTGTTATCCAAACTATCTAGATTAAAAAAACAGATTTTCCAGAATTTACAGGATTGATGTTCTATAAAATATACTGAATTAATCACTCATTCATAAAAAGCAGAAAATAAAAATGAACAAAAACAGTTATTGTATTACCAGGAGCAGGAAGCTTGTCTGATAACTGATGCAAATTTTCTGCTGATTCTTCATATAGGCTACAATAAAAGAATATGGTTAGAGAAAAATGCCCTACACAAGTATGCATATAAATATAAATATGCATGCTATATATATAAAATCGTAATAGGCAATAATGATCTGTACGCCAGTCACATAATGCTAGTCACATGACCTTATTTGACTCTGCTGACAAACCCATGCAGCATTAAAATTAGCATTTCTCCTTTAAATAAGAGTCCTAAAATCACATAGTTCTTATGGGTTAAAGCAAGAATTTACCTGCAAGTGCAAACTCTTATCCACAACCAAAACACAAACAGAACCAATAATAGTGGAAACAAAGCCCCTAAGTTGTATTTATATATCCAATATAAATAACAGACCAAACACTTTTCTAATCTTCAAAGCCAGCCAGCCAGCACTGGGTTTTAATAAAGGACACTGCTTTTCTCTGCATTAGTTAAAAGTCTTCACTGAGAATCTGACATTTTGCTTGGATTCCTAAAAAACTATATATTTTATTTATATGGTGAAATTTGATCTCAAAATAATTTCTTAAATAAAATAAAAGTATTTAAATCCTTTCTCATAAGGTGATAGTGTCTAAAACAAAAACCTTAAAGCATCCTAAGATAAACTGTAGTTTTCAGGCTCCCTCTTGTGGAAATAAGGCCTCACAGCAAAACTACCTTACCATTTTTTCAGTGATAAAATATGAATTGATAACATACTTTTAAGGCTCAATGAAGGCATCTTAGAAAGAATCTAAAAGAACTTCCACAATTGATGAATGAGAAACAAAGGGACAAGCTATGTCCCTGGCTTTGCCCCATATAACTCATAAAGAGAACTTTCCTAACTAGTCATTCCACAGCTCTTCCTCTCTTCTACACTGCTTCTTTCATTAACATGGTGATTAGTACAATGTGAAATCAGGAAGAAGGAATTCTTAAAGCCTATACAATGTATAGGTATATCATATGAATACCAAAAAAAAACCAAAATGATTTCCTTCCACATGATGAAGACTAAAGTGAAAGGAATTTACAATGAGTCAGAAACGGACTTTCTTAGAAAGAAAAAGATTATCCTAACTCAGTGCCTGGATTGTTCTCACATTCTAACAAGACTCAAGAGGCTTACAAGTGAAGTCAGCTACACTGACACTCCTCAGAAACTCTATGGATTATAAAAAAGTATCAGAAATGTTGAAGAGGCATATAAATTGAACAAAAAAAAAAAAATCCCACATTTCAGCCTCAGAGTGCAAAAGCCCAATATGCTTCGACCTGAGTGTTGACTGCTAGCATTGAGTAACTCCCCTAGTAAAGCTCAGGCAGAATTTAGCTTCTGGAAAAGCATATACTAATGCAAACAGATGTATAAACCTAAACAACATTTTCAGGCATCAATCAGATCAAAGTGTCTTCCAAAACTTAAATATTAAATATTAAAGTTGATGAAAATTCCCCTACTATAATTGCTAAAATATTTAATCTTTTCCCTCCTGTCTCCAAACAACTAGCTAAATTAAATATCTGAAAGGGAGGAAAGACACAAAAGCATACTCAGCCAAGGATAAGGATTCCCTGCTATTACTTTCATCTTCTTCAAAACACTCAACAGAATTCTGGTAGTCTTCTATATTTGCTTGAAGAACTTCTTCAATTTTATCTTTTTCAGCATCAAAATGTATCTCTTGCCAATCAGAACTACAAAACTAACAGAAGATGGTGGTAAGTGGTGGAGTCATCACAGACATTTCCTAATAGTTATTACCAAACCAACAAATCAAAAGGCAGCATTAACAGATGAAATTCTTTAGAGTAGGAAAGGCTTTCACTAATAGCTATTACCTGATAAAATCCGCATATTGCTTGCATGGCAAAGAACCACTTCCTGGAATGAGGTGTGCCACCCACTGAACAAGCTTGAAAATAAATCACACTGATTAGAAAAAAGGCAGACAATAAAATAGTAGTCATCATAACAAATTACTGCTTTGAGAATTATGTAATTTTGAAACACAGTCTATAGTTTTCCACGTTATAAATCTCTGGTAAAATTTCAATCTGGTTAAAAGAGAAAATTACAAGTTTGCATTAATTCAAACTCCATATTCCTTAATCATCATTTAAAATCTACTATAAAGATATTTAAAAAAATACAGCTACTCAATTATGGCTAGGTGATACAAAGCCAGGTTTGTAGGCTACTAAGTAAAAAAAAAAAAAAAAAAAAATCCCTCTCCAAAGACCAAGAAGGCTTTCTTCTCTACCTGGCCACAGGCCACAGTTTCTAGTTGGAAATGCAATACCATAAAATAAATTAGGAAGGGAGGAAGGAAGGAAAACAAAGGAAGGAAGGAAGGAAGGAAGGAAGGAAGGAAGGAAGGAAGGAAGGAAGGAAGGAAGGAAGGAAGGAAGGAAGGAAGGAAGGCAAAGGTCACCATGGAGCAATCCCAGAGAAGCCAAAGCAATTGAGAGCTATGCAGACATACCAGATTCAAGACTGGAAGGAAAAAGTGAACCATGAGCCTGATTTATAGGAGCAAGGTAAGGTGCTGAGTGTCAACTGCAACTTTCTTTCAAAGAGCTCAGCAAAACACTTTTTTTTTTTCCTTACTGGGAGCCACTGCGTCCTTACAGGAAACAGAACACTCTACTTGCCTTCCCGTCAGGTCTTTATTCGTCCCTTCCTGCCAACAAGCAAGAGGCCCTGACCTTCCAAGACAAGATTGTCCCTCAAAATGATCCCAGCTTAGGCACTCCAAACTATTCCCCTTCACTATTGAAAGCCACAAAAATATTTCTCAAAGCAGTACTTCCCAATAGAATCTTAGCTTCCTGTGTTCAATGACTGCTGCATTCCTTTCTTCATTTTTTTCTTTTTTTTTAAAGTTTATATTAGTTTATTTACTTTATATCACATGGGTACCCACCCTCACTGTTCCCCCATTTCCCCACCTTCCCCTTTTCCCTTCCATAGAAAAGGGGAGCCCCCTCCCCCCGTAATTATCATCCCCCCCCCCCCCCTGTACATCAGGTCTGCACATATCTTCATCTCCTAAACTCCCTGAAAATGCTGCCGATGGGTGGTAGTCTCTTCCTCACCAGCCTTGTCATGCCCAGCATTTCAACGGGCATTTTTGTTTCTAACGTTGTCACTGAAATCATATCCAAAGTTGGTAATTAACTGACTTTTATTAAATTATTTTCAGTTCTGTTGATATTTAGACTCTTAGCATAAGCATCAGAGAGGAATCAAAGGTGACTGACATGACTACTATCCCCTTAAATCACTTGGATCTGTAAAACTAATTCTTCTTGCTCCTTCTTCAGTCTCTTTGAATATTAGTATTGATATTCTTTTTTTATGTCTTCCCATCATCTATAAAGAACTCATCTTTCTCTTGGCTTCCATCTGTACACAGATGATTTTACAACCACATTTCCAGCACTACCCTCCCATAGTATGAGATGTAGACACACCTATGTAACTTTTACACAATATCTTACTTCAACATCCTACTAGGCTGTCCATCTGTTCTAAACAACTCAATATGCTTACAAATATGCTTCTATCTCAGTAAAAGCTTCCATTACATTTATCCCATGTCATTTATGATTCCTTGCTCCTAAACTGAGCCAACTCAACATTAAGACAGGTATTCTCCCTCTAATTCCCTTTACATTTATCTACTTTGTAATTGCTGTCTGCTGCCCCCTCCCCACTTTTCAGCTGACCTTCTACAGTAACTCCACTAGCTGTAACTTTCTCTAATGTGTCTAATGTCTAATATAACTAGAGTACTTCAAAGCAGATCTGCAGGTTGTAGAGATGGCCCACAGATAAAGTACATGTCATGCAACTGTGAGGACTGCAGCTCAGATCCCTCAAGCCCACACACAAGCCAGGCAGGTGTGGCAGATCTACAATCCCACCATTTGGGAGGCAGAGGACACACACACACACACACACACACACACGATAACAAGCGTATACACATGTATGCTCCACACCCACTTAAAAGAAAATCAATGAAGAAAAACAAGAAGAAGAAGAACAATATCATCATCACCTGATCATTTTCCCTGCACTAAAACCTTTGATGGCTGCTGACTACAATTTTTAAAAAGTCCAAATATCCTGATACTATTCACAAAGTTGTCTATATAACTGTACCAAGTTAGCTTTTCAGTAGGCAAACCATTACCGCCCCCTCAAAAAATTATGTACTATGTCATTGGCTGATCATGTTACTACTTTGACAGTTTTCCAACTCAGCACTGAACATCTTAATATTCAATTTATACAGAGAAGGCATAAGATCTAAATTTGTTTCCTCCTGCTCTTCTGATGAAAACTCCTTGTAGTATTTTTTCAATGGATAACTAAAAAAGGTAACTGGTGAGAAAGATGAAGAACAGCAAGAAGAAAATTATCAGTGCTTAAAGTGCTATTCAAATCTATATAAATAGGGTTCTAGAGTAGTTACTGTGACAAACATGATAACATAGATAACCTGTCTGTCCCAGGGAAAATGATGCTAGCACAGCTTTCACATAAAAAAAAAAAAAAAAAAAAAAAAAAAGGAGATATTTCACAAAAAAAAAAAAAAAAAAAAAAAAAAAGCAGGGATATTTCACAATATTGATAGCTCAAAGAATAAAATACGGGAAGCTTATACAATTAAGAATATAAGTCACCAAAGCACAGACAATATGCTAAATCTGCATATGTCCTATGATGGCCAAGGAGAAAGCAATGACCGGCTATTTTCAGTAGTTTTTACAAAGAAATAAAAATACTTTAATTGCAGGGTGTCTTGTTTTACTCCACAGAACACAACATAAAGATTACCTTTACTACTTCTCCCACTTTCTTAAATATTTAAAACCAATCTGTGTTCTAAAATTTTTAATTACATTGTGTGCGTATACACATGTGTGTCACAGCTCCATCTGGAGACCCTTTTTCAGGAGTTGGTTCTCTCCTTGAGCATGGACCCTGGGGAGTGAATGCAGGTCATCATCCATGACAGCAAGCAACTCTACCCACTGAGCCATCTCTCTGTCCCCAACAAGAGTTTTCATAGGAATGTTACAGGTCACAGACGTATTAGGCTGATCTTGCATGACGTCAGCTTGCACAGTTACTTGCAGAGTTCTGCATTACTGTGCAAAAGGGGTGTCTCATAAGAAACTGTCCAGACAAGCAGAATAAATACTTTCATGAGAACCTAGTCTAGAATGTTCCCAAGAGCTCTTTTATACATGCATTTAAAGCATGAATAAGGAAAAAAAAAATCTTTGCTGCAAAAATAATGGCACTATTTAAACTTTACCAACTTAAGAAATTAATAAGAATGCTGGGCGTGATGGTGCACTCAGGGAGGCTGGGATTAAGAAATTAATAAGAATGCCATTAGAACTCAGACAACAGGCTAATGCAGCACATACATACTAGAAATCACTGCTCAGTAGTGAGAGCTGCCCCCAAGAGACTGGAAGTTCTGTAATAAAGAAAGGCGATTATAATACTCATAAGAGCTACAGCTATCAAAATGAGGACATTCTTCCTGGCATCCATAGACATTTCCTCCTCTATTAGGAAGGATTTGATCTGTTTCCATATTCCTACTTTGTGAGCCTTTAAAGATTATTATCAGATGGAGAAGATGTAAAAGAAAATCATCAAAGCAAATAAATGCTACAAGTAGGAAATTTTTGTTGTTGTTTTGCTAAAAACAGTGAAATAACTTCAAAAAGTCAAAGCAGAAGATAATTGAGGGACAACCACTATCTTTAGCAAGTTCAAAGTTGTCTTTGCTTTAAGAGAATCAGTAAGACTAGACAGGGGAAAAAAATTCACAAGTGGTAAAGAAGTGAGAGAGGGAGCTTTAACAATGTACCTTTACTCAAGACAAGAACCTCTTCACAATACCATATTACACTATGCTATATATACCTAAAGATGGGGGATTATGAAGGAAACAAAACTCAAGTTGGGAGGTCAGAATAACAACTTTTATAACAACTTATAACATTCAAATATTAGGAAAGAATGTTAATGTAGTTACACATTTCCTTAAGAAATCTTCATATCCCTGTGCCGTTTTCAAAGTCAACAAGTATTTCTTGTACTCCCAAGTCATCAAACTAATTTCCAATAAAAATGCTTTGCCAGATTTGTTGTTGTTGTTGTTGTTGTTGTTGTTGTTTTGGGGGGGGGATTTGTTATAATGTTGTACTTACCAGGGAAAGTACTATCATCTGGATAGATTGAGTCATTGATACTTCTCTTCAAGAGGTTGTAAATATTGGTTGCTGTCAAGTCTGTAAAAATAAAAGTCTAACTCAGTCATCTAACTCATTGGGTTCTAGAGTTAACATAATCTAGGCCTGTTTCAATTTCACTCTCAGAGAATCTGAAGGCCAGTATGTTGTATACAGAATACAGGTTGATCAAGAGTCTATTCAAGTGCTGATACAATAAATTTGAGCAAGCAGAGAAAATATTCAAGTCTCTCGATTTGTATATGCTAGTCAATAGCAAGAAATCAAAACTTCTTTCCAAAAAAACCATATACATTTCTTCCTCAAAATGTTTACTTAATCAAAACAAGAAAAATGAAATATAGAGACTAGTCAGGAACATCAAAAAGCAATGCAATCAATCACCTAAAATCTTTTAAAATTGGTCTTTTTTTTTTTTAATGTGAAATGTCTCCTCCATAGAATCTAAACTCGAGATCTGCAGAACTTATCGTTTCTTTCTGTATTTTCTTCAAGGTGGAACACCAGACATCCGTACTTTCTAAATGCGCACCTTTCCAGAAAGCGGAAATTCGATTACTGTGCAATCAGTAGATTCATACGGGTAAATACACAGTTTGCCAAGCACTTGGGACACTGGTATCCAATACCCACAATTTTATGTCTTTTTCATTAAAAGGATACTGTTCAGTTCTTACAATAAAAACTTCTTCAGAGAATTTCATCTTCCTGGGACCATTTAACCTAAACTCCTCCCCGCGGGATTTCATCCTAAACGCCAATCCCTTCGCCTCCCCGCGAGTCTTTCCCGCCGGTTCTCAGCCCAGAGCTTACGAGTCTGTTTTTCGGTGCTCTCCAGGGACGACGCCTCAGTCCCTGGCTCGATCTCCCCACCCGCCACCGACCGAAACTTTCCTTCCCTCCAGGTGACTAGCAGAAGGTACCGATCCATTTTCTTCGCGCTCAGACTCAGTTTTAGGGCTCAAAAGAGCCGCGCGCAACGCGCACTTCCGGTTTCCTGCCGCTTGGGTTGGCTGGAAAAAAAAAGTGTCCTAGGTCGGTTTTTTCACCAATTATTTTTGGTAATTAGTCTCTTAGTAGCCACACTCTTTGCTCCTTTCATAAGAAACGGCTACTGGAGGCCACCCGAGCGTGGCAGAGAAGCAGATGAGTGCTCCAGCCCTAGGAACCTTCGTGCTCGGTTGTCTGTGTTTCCCGCCGGACGGGTGGTGCTGGTGCCCTGGCTGGGCCATTGGAAAGTGAAGGACGCTGCAAGTCGAGAAGCATGTCCAGCTTCTCTAGGGCGCCCCAGGTGAGCTTGCGCGCTTCGGGCAGGAAGATGTGCTCATTACGTTGGCGAAAATGAAGAGCCGTGGTTCCCAGGGACTTAGTACAGAAGCTGAGCTTTCAGAGTAGCTGACACCCGAAGCCAAGAAGTGCGTTAGGAAATCACAAAACAGAGGGTTGTGAGTCTAGCCAGCACTTGATATCTTTGTTTTGGCACTCCTTTCTCTCTTCATCCTGCCCTTTTCGTGTCTTCTGACCGCTGGTGAGAGTCCTAGGAGAGAATTTCAGTTAGGTAATAGTTTGAATGGCATGGAGCAATGAAAGGCATCGAAAGATGTTAATTTTGGTTTAGTGCAATGGAGATTGGGGGGAGGGGAAGGGGTGGAGCCGTAGTATATTATAGTGTTTGTCTAGCATGCAGGAAGCCCTGGGTTCCATCCTCAGCGCCGCATAAACTTTGCATTATGGTGCATGCATATTATCCCAGCACTTGGGAGGTGGCGGCAGAAAGATCAGAAGTTCAAGGCCAACCTTCTCCGATACATAGTTAGCGACCTTAAAGTCAGCCTACTCTTCAGAAGAACAAAGGAATGGAAATCTGTTGAAGGGTTTTGAGCTAGAAGTCTTAGTCATTAAAAGGACCAGGCACCCAGGCTGCCAGGTGGATAATAGGCCGTCCACAGATGGGGATCTCTGAAGGACAAAAGGGAAAAGTCAGTTTGAATGCTGTTTTAGTATACCACGCGAGCTACTCATGCTCAAGTCAGGCTAAAACACTGAAGTCCTTCGAAACCGACAGTACTGAAAGATTGAATGTGGGTGAAAGAACAAACAAGAATTAAGGCTGTCGTATAGGGAACATTGAAAGTGAAGCAAATTTAAGGTAGAAAAGAAAGAATTAGTTTCTGATATTTTACACCAAGATGACTCCTAGCCTGCTGCCACTTGAAGTACAATTCCTTTAAATCTAGTTGTTACCTGCCTTTAATGAGGCTAACTCAAGACGCGAAAGTAAACATTTTAAAACTTTGACAGGAAATTGACATGGTGGCAGCATCCTTATTGTTTATCAAACTTTTTTAAAGTATTAGTCTGCGTGGGATGCGAGAAACTTGTCTTTTGCATATGCGTAAGCTATATAAAAAAGTTTAGGGTAACTAATATAGAACCCCAAGCTTATTTGTATTTTTCTAGTGTATAACCTCTATGTGTATGCATAATGAAAGCACCTGGTCAAGATCTTTCTGAAATAGAGATAATTTTCTTATTTTGGAGACACTGAAAACATTGATTTTTCTCAGATAAATACATCTGTTGAAGACAGGCCTGTAATACCAGATATTCTGGAGAATGAAGTGGGAGGGTTGTAAGTTCATGTCTTTAGTGGGTACAGACTGAGTTCAAGGCCAAGCAAAGTAACTTAATGAGACCCTGACTAAAACACATTAAAAGAGGGCTAGTGATGTATCTTCAGTGGTGGAATGCTTGCCTAGAATCTCAGTTGTCACAGACACATAGAGATGTTGAATTTCAGCTATACGTCTCTGAGTGCATAGTTGTCTTTAACTCTCCTAGATCTGAGTTTTTGAATTATCTTCAGTTGCCAATTAGCCACTCAACTTTCTGTGTAATATATGTAATACCTTAGTGCAGTGATGAGAAAAGACTGCAAAATGGGTAATGAAAACAAAATACACACACAAAAAAATGGTGATAGTTTGTTTTCCAAAGTAATTGTTGGCATTAATTATAGTATACTTATGATGGCAGGTAGTAATGTATTTATTTATTTCCATATTAACTAGAATTTTCTTTAACTTTTTCTTTATTTTCAAGCAATGGGCCACTTTTGCTCGAATGTGGTATCTCTTAGATGGTAAAATGCAACCCCCTGGCAAACTCGCAGCTATAGCATCACAAAAACTTCAAGGATTACATAAACCAGTGTACCATCCGCTCAGTAAGTATTGTCTTAGACCCATCAATAGTAGCCATGGTTTACACTGCAGAATAGAAACTTTGTGAAGTTTCACTGAACTGTGTTTAAGGGCTTCTTTCTCTGCATATATAAGGTTTCCATATTGTATTTCTTCTCTAAGATGTCATCGGGTGCTAAACTTAATTTGATAGAAACAGCATATGGTGATAAGCAGCTCAGTCTCCATGTGGGTTTCCTAGTAAGGAAAGAGCAGGGGCTGTCTCTGACATGGACTCTGTTGCCCACTCATTGCCAGACCACACAGGAAGAAGATGCAGGCAGTTCTAATGAGACTTGATAGGGTGGAGTCAGATGGTAGGAGAAGAGGGCTCCCCCATTCTGAGCAATAGGGGAGGGGAAGAGGGACAGAGAGTGGGATTGGGAGGAAACAAGGGAGGGGGTTACAATCGGGATGTAACGTAAAATATATATATATAAAATTTAAAAAAAAAAAAAAAGGAAAAAAGAAACACCATAAGGACCAGTTCTTTCAGCACAGCCCCCATTTAATGCTGTTACCAAACAGGAGATCACCAGTAGCCCTTACTTCCATTCCAGTAGTATCCTGATTTGCACTGTGACTTGAATTTCCTGTCTTACACATACCTTGTCTTATGAGTGGAGAGATTTTAACAATAGTCTTGACTATTTTCTAAAAAGCCCTCCCTAGAAAAATAGAGCTAGCTAGATATGGTAAGTTGCCTTTCACTCTTGAATTAATGATTTGCTTTTCATATGCCATTTCTTAAACAATAAGACTTTTTCATCTTAGAAGAGTGCTGCTTGTGGGCATTTTAGTTAAGACTGTTTTCTGAGGCATTTTCCTGTCACTTCCCAGTCTTCCTCTCATTAAAAAGTGAGGTGTTTGGATTTCTGCCTCAAAATGTAAGTGTGTGATATCACAGTGTCTGTGTCCTTTCGGAGGGTCTGGCTTAAAGCCTTCTCTACTTCTGTGCCTTGTGACCCTTCTTTGAGTCGCCACACCCTGCATAAGTATGCCCAATTTAAAAATTAGAAAGCAGCATTCCTGTGATCTAGTAGCTTTTCACAGTGACTGCCCGCTCTACTTTTTTGAACTGCTGTTCTCTATACTATCTTGCTCTTACATAGTTCCTGTACAGACTAGGCTTTCCAAACAACAGATTAAAAGGCAAAGTGGCATATGTCCTCTACAGGATGTATTAATGTGGCTCCTGAACCATATGCCCCTGAGCAGTTCTCTGAGGCCTGCTCCTTTCTCCTTGTTTGGCCTAAGAAGCATGTTTTGCTTGTGTCCCTTTCACACACTATTCTCTGTATGGCGTACTTCTTTGTGCCTTTTGTAGTTCTCACCAGTCATTTCTGTCCTGAACAAGGCCTTCTTTGAGCCTCCTGTCTAGTCATCCATTCACTTTTTGAATGTCTACTTTGCCATTTTTTAAATAAATTTACTTACTTACTTTAAGTCCCAGTAGGAACTTCTCCTCCTAGTCCTTCCCTCTCTCCTCCCCTCCCTGTTTATTCCCTCCTTTTATTCTTAGAGAAGGGGAGTTTCAGACCACCTTGGCAAATCAAGTAAGACTGGGCACATATTCTATTAAGGCTAAACAAGGCATCCCAGTTATGGTGAAGGGAACCAAGTACAGGCAACAGAGTCAGAGACAGCCCTTGCTTCTGCTGTCAGAGTTCAGCATTCATATGTCACTTGACATGAACACTGTGTATCTTTCTTCACTAAGTTTGAATTTAAAAAAAAAAAAAAAAAGGAATTCTAAGTACCTCTGATAGTGTTCCACAAATAGTTTGAATGTAAGAAATGTTTGACGGGTACTTTAAAGCGTAGCTTAACAACAACAACAACAAAAAAATACAAATGCAAAAACTACAACAGTAAGTAACCTTCAAAATGGCACTGTTTGCATTTGAGAGAGAAGAAATAGCACAAGAAATTGCTTTCTATAGCCACAGCTGGCAATGTGTGTCATGCAACTCAAATTCTAACAGTTAAGGGAATTTACAAATATGAATAATGAGATCACTGAATTTTAAAAAGACCTAGCAGCAGGTGTAATGAATGGCTATTTTCTTTAAAAAAAAAAAAAAAAAAAAAAAAAGGCCAACCAAAAACATGCATCTCCATAGAATTACAAATTTATACAATTTCTTGTAACCTGAGATGTTTTACCTGCCTCTGAGGAAATTTCCATTGCTCTTCTGTGTAGTTGTTTCCTGTTCATTTATTTGTTCCTTACAATAAATAGTGCACAGGCTCACTGAACAGGCTTTGTAGGGACAGCAGTGAGTAAAAACAACGGGGCAGATGGAAACGACAGTCTCCTAGTTTCCACCCCCTGGGTTAGCAGTAACCAGCCTCCTCAGTAAACTGTTTCCTTAAAAGGAAATCAACATTCCTTATATATTCCTTAGATGCTACCAATATGCCTTCTGCTGGACCAGCAGGAAAGCTGCCATGACTGCCTGTAGGCCATCCTTTCTGAAGAATAGAAAATAGCTTTTCTATGGCATTGGAAACAGAACTTTTTAAAGATTAAATTCCTGTTTGCCTCCTTGTGTTGAACAAATGTTAACTCCACATCAGCAAAGCTTCCCATGACCACAAGATGTCACTACAGTCAAAGTTCTAAACCCCAGCAGTTGATAAATGCATTGTCTTAAGATTTATCTCCAGCATTTAGTAGTTATTAACAAGGTGTTAAGGACTTATAATCACTGTACACATTTTTTG